GAAAATGGCGCCTGGAAGAATTGCACCAGCAGAGACTGAGCTTCCCCTCGCTCGTTTGGGCGCTAAAATACGAATTAAAGGAAACGTTGATTTTTTTTTTTTAACAGACTGGTGGCTGTAACAGCGCACAAAATAGCCTTTACGGAGACAGAAATACCGTGTACATGTAAATGCTATGCTTTTAGGCACCATGCGGGAGGGAAAAAAAGTGCAAAACGCGGCCATTTAAACACACTCACGTACATTCAATTACTTAAAATAACATTCTAATAGCTGCCAGTATTGAATAGAAGTCAAGAAAGTACTGCTTAGTTCGGCGAACTAACTACACAAACAACCACGATTGAACCGCCAAACTCTCACTTAAAACTCTGTCTTAAGTCATTTAACTAACAGTACATTTATAACTGTATTTCCATACAGAAAGTCTATAAAATACAAACACTGAGGTAGCTTGATTTACCAGTTGCTATTCTGAAACTGAGGGAAAATGGCGTCTGGAAGATTCTTCAGTGACAGCGCTGCATAAATACCAGGATGTTGGAAATAACATTGGCAAGTGTTGGTTACCTGTAACACTGTGATTTTACACTGAATCAAATCAGCTTCTATCTCTGATAGTGTTAATTTCTCAAAATCTAACTCTATAACGTCAACACTTTACTCTGACATGCTTTAACACTGGGAATTTAACACTGACGTATTTGCAGTGTGGATTAATCCGGAATTCAGTTTTCTTCGGCCTAAAATCATGACCCACGTGAATCATGCAGATCAGTAATACACAATATTGGAGTGGGGGGTCTTGCAAATGGCCATAAGCAATTAGCTAAATAAACTGCCAAAAGATTTTGTTTTGTAAGACATCACGGACGGAATGGTCCTGAGAGCACTGTACGAGCTCACGCCGCCATCTGCAGGACAGTTAAAAGTATCAAGTATCAGTTCAAATGTAGAATTTAATAAATTTGAATGCAAATAAATGCTGTTCATTGAACTTTCTATTTATCAAAGAATCCTAAAAAATAAAATATATATTACAATTTTCACACAACATATATGACAGCACAACTGTTTTCAACATTGATAATAATCAGAAATGCTTCTTGAGCAGCAAATCAAATTGTAATGTTTTCTGAAGGATCATGTGACACTGAAGACTGGAGTAATGATGCTGGAAATTCAGCTTTGATCACAGAAATAAATTACATTTTATAAAATATTAAAATATAAATATTTTTTTATTTGTAATAATATTTCACAATATTGCTGTTTTACTTTATTTTGATTAAATAAATGCATCCTTGATGAGCAGAAGTGATTTATTTCAAAATCATTAATAAGTGTAATGTTTCCAAACTTTTTGCAGGTATTTTAATAATAACAATTCTATTAATACTTTATTTATATTATATTATATTATAATATAATGTTAATTATTATCATGATTATTAAATGCTGTTTTTATTTTGAAAGGACAATCGTATGTATTATTACAATATAAGATATATTTTTTAATGTGATTTTATATATATATATATATATATATATTAATAATAAGTGATGGGGGCGTGGCTTTTGGGGGGGGCGTGGTCAGATTTTCCTGCTTTTTTGTCTCTAGATTTCTGTAAGGCCTGAGCATTACAGAAATCCCTAAAAATGTTCTGTTTTTTGTTAAATTGGTAGCTGACTCTTGCTAATCCCACTTTAAAACGTTCCTGCCTCAGAAATCTGATGTGCTCTCAGACAAGTGTTGCTCATCTAATATAAATCTAAAGTCCTGTGTGTGTGTGTGTGTGTGTGTGGTTGTTTTAAACTGAGTTTTACAGAAATGCTTATAAAACACTGCAGCAGATACATATTATTTTCACATTTCCAAATCTTTAAATAAATCCTGAAGTGCATGCTGTGCATTAGACTCTATGTGCCGCTCTTATTTTGCAGTGGACAAATAGAAATGCTACAAAGTAAATAGTTTATCACTTAACATTAATTCATTTGCTTACTGTCAGGTCATAGCAGAGATGATTGTAACTTACAGGAGCATGTTGTAATGATGTTAGTGTCACTTTCAACTCATGGTCTGTATAAAGTGAGGCTTTTCTCTTTAGATTTGACTGTGATGTGTGTTTGCCTGGATTCACATTCACAGTCTCGTTTTTCATCATAATATCTGTGCTTTGTGTTTGATTCTCTCAGGAGAGGAGACTCTCTGTCTGTGAGACTTGCTCAGAATAGATTTGCCGTTCATGAATGTAACAAACCCAGGGGCCTGAAGAGAAGAAGTAAGTGACGCATAATTAGATAATAACACAATGGACAGTAATTCTTTATAGTAACATGTATGCTGTGATTTCTCAGGTGACGTCCCAGAACAAATCAGCCAGCAGTCGTTACAGCGGGAGAAGTATCTGATCTCCTGTTACAGTCACAACAGGGAATAATGTTCAGTGATCAGCAAACTTACATGCTTTTGTCTTTTATCATTACATCATAACCTTATACAGACTTCACAATATCTACTGTAACTATGCAGATTTCATAGTCTTGAGTATTTGGTGTAGAGTTTGTGAACACTATATTGTATGTTTGTATTACAGAAAATATTTGATGTTCTGCTGTAGAATTTGTTCCTATTGGTTTGGATAATTAATAACTAGGAATTGTAAAATAGAATGTCTTATTTCTAAGAATTTCAGAGTTCACTTTGTTCTGTTGTTCCCGTGTAAAAATACTGAAGTACGTACTGTTATTTGTTAGTTAAAAAGTTTCAAACTGTCAGACTTTCAGACAGTATACTGTAATTTTACTCTGGAGCAGTTTAACATTTAATATACAGTATATATATATATATATATGTATGTCAAGAGTTTGTCCTAAAGGAAAGTAAACTAGTTTTGTCAGAAGAGACTAAAGGTTCGTTCTATTAAATGAAATGAAGCACACATTTTCAGTCACTTGTCTTGTACTTATGAATTTAAATAAAATCCTAAAATGAAAAGAATATTTAATATAAAACTGAATATGGCCATATTTCATTATTATACCAAATGTTAGGGCTTGTATTATTTCTAGTATTTCTAGTAAACAGAGTTAAATTATTAGATTTTTAGTCAATTATACATGTCTTACCAGAAAGAGGAAATACACAAGCAATACGTTTCTATTTCTGAATTTCAAAATACACAGTTATGATGATCTATATTAAATCTATGCCTGAGAAGCTCGACGGCTCAGGATATATAAGCCGATCACTGAATACCTTACATTGATTTTCGGTGGTGTATAAACATGATCTATTTTCTTAATGTCCTTTAGATAAAAAACCCTCACACTCCATTCCTACTACGTTGTTTTGTAAAAGTATTATTTGTCAGTAAATTGTGTATCATTTTGCTTTTAAATGTATCATCTTATCAAAATCTATCTCATTGTTAATGATGGTAAATGAGGAACATTATTCATGAGACACTGAATTTTTGACCATCAGAATAACAGACTTTGGAAAGCATTTAAGAACTGTGTAAGATTGTTTATAATCACACTGAAAGTTATAACCTCTCCATAAAATAAATAAATATGTGTCAACACAGTCGTTAGTGAATAACTGTGTGCAAGAGGAAAAGCAAAAAACGAGTAAAAAAAAAAGTTAAGATTTAGGTGGAAATTTTAATAATCATCAAAAAAAATATGTAATTAATATAATTATTTTACAGTGAAATCTTTACAGTGGTTTGCTGGTTGATACATCTACAATATCAATCTCATCAGTTGTCAGACTCTTGATTTCTCAAACTAAAACTTGTAAAAACTTTTAAAGAAAACTTTATATTCAAGGTTAACAAAGGTTATATTGATAAATGAATCTCATTCTCCCATTATAATCAAAGTTGTCCGTATTACACAATAAATCTCTTATTTACACCGTTTATGTTGATTAAAATGGGAGGTTTTAGTTTGATCACTCAGCATTACTTGTCTGCAGTGTTTATTGAGTGTTACAGCATCTACATTGTAGTCAATATCTACTGAATCCACACCGATTCCAAACTGCTGATTTTCTGCACTCAGTTTCATGAGCCATTACCTATAAACCAAGAGAGTGAAAGACGACACACATGACAGTGTGATGCTGTGTGTCTCTGTGTCTTCAGTCTCTGCTGATTGTGTGACTGTGACGTCTCTGTAGCGGCTCTTATTCACCAGCAGCTGATCCTGAGGAAACTGGACTGACGTCTAAATACTGAGAGTCCTACAATAAAACACACAGACAGTCACATATGAGTATGAGACATTACTGCTGTCACAACACATCAGCAGATCCAGCTCAGAAAACACACAGTATATTCATATTACAGCCAGAGATATGAATGAACACCTGATCACAGATTAATAACAGTGAATGATCAACAACTCTCTCTTTATCACTGACACACAGAGACATGAAGAGATGAAAATATTAATATATTCATAGATCAGTTACATCACAGAATTAAACTCTTATTAAACACAGTTTGAAATACAGAAACTAAAGTGGAGCTGAATTATTATCTTATATGATCCAATACACACATATGAGGCCTGCTACTGAACTTTAAAGATTCAAGTAAAAAGACACTCACAATAGTATAATGTCTCCAGTTTACAATGTGGATCATCCTTCAGATCAGAGAGTAACTTCACATCAGATTTTCCTAGTTTATTCCCAGACAGACTCAGTTGTCTCAGGTGTGAGGGGTTTGATCTCAGAGCTGAAGCCAGAGCAGCACAACCTTCATCTGTGACGCCACAATCTCTCAACCTGTAGAGAACAATAACACACTCATCACTCTCTCAGATCAGTTTAACAATGAATCCATTACTACAGTATTTTAAAATTGCTTACACGCAATAAGCACTTTACACACAAAACCAGAGGAGGAGCTGGGGAGGTGGAGGGATGCTGGAAGAATTGTTGCCGGGACGGCGCAGTGACTGCTGCTTATATAGGCTCGTAATGATGATTGACAGGACTGGATGATTAGCCTCCTCCTGAACCTACGTTTGGACCTTCGTCAATATTTATCATTCCTTCCCTTTCCTGCACTGCATAATAATGTGTTCAGCTGTTTCCATCACTCCACACTAACAGCATTGAGCTTATGATGAGTTGTGTTTACCCATCAGAAACAATAATGCATCTTTAAGAGCTGAATGTCTCAATCTGGATATTAACACCTCTTTCCTAAATCTCCATATATTATCCAGCACGTCATTCACAGATGGTTGAATAAAATGCACACTGATGCACTAAAAACACTCTTATGACTGAAATATTGATTGCTGGTTCGTTAAAGGCTGGTCTTTGTGGTAATACAGTACATCGGGCGGGACATCCAAACGCTCGCCTATCATTCATCGACCTCAAACATGGCTTATCATCTGAAATATGTAAGTATTAGCAACTTTACATGGCTGCTCAATCTTATGTTAAAATGTTAATGCAGTCTCCTTACTGTTTTTCCCAACACATTCATAATCATTACTTCTGCTGTGGTGTGCTGTGGCAAGATTTATGTGTGCGCTTATTAGGCTATGTAGGCAATTAAAGACTCATTATAAAGATTTAAATGGTTTATTAATAAATGTGCAATTAGTCGACTAATGCTTAAAATGAACAACTACTAGTCGACCATAAAAATCTTTAGTCGAGGGCAGCCCTTCTAGAATGTCATTTACTCTTGTTTTTGAATTTGTGAAGTTGTTGTCAAGGCTGATCTTTTCTTGTTTTCTTTGTGAATATTGTATATAGTATAACTGGGAGTTTTAGGGAGTGTGTGTGTGTGTGTGTCTACTTAACCATATTTTGGGGACAAATTTGTACCCAAAAGAGAGCAAAACCTGACGAAATTGGCAAAAACCTCAATTTGTGGATGTCCTCATTTGTAAAACTGTTATAAAATAAAGTAAAGAGTTTTTTTTTTTACTTTTAAAATTGTAAAAATGCAGAAAGTTTTCTGTGAGGGGTAGGGGTGGGGGTGGGTTTAGGTTAAAATGTGTATAACTATCTGTATATAAAAACAATAGAAGTCTATGTAATGTCCCCATTTAGATAGCTAAGTAAACGTGTGTGTGTGTGTGTGTGTGTGAAA